TTTTTTTTTTTTTTTGAATTAATTCTACTGTTTGAGGGGAAAAAAAGTACATATCTTCTCTCCACCTGCCAATACAAATCCCTCTCAAGAAGAGACAGTCTTGATCTGCTTTCTTCTATTAAAAACGAGGGGGGAGGGAAGGGGAAGAGGTTACTAAAAAAAAAGAATTAAAAGCCACTGTGTTCTTAAGATACATCTTAATTCTCTTCCTTCCTTCTTCCAGCTTGGCCTGTCTTTGGACTAGGCCAGGACTTCTGAACTTTTAACTCCCAAAATTCCTCAGCCAACATAGCAGAGAGCAGTGATGGTAAACCTTTTTGGCACCAACCAAGTGCCAAAAAGGGAGAACTTCACGTGCGCGCTTATCTGGGCCACAACCAGGAAGAGGAGCTGCCCAAGGGGCATGTATGCGCTCCAGGAAATGAACTTCTGAAACTTCCAGCCAGCAAGTTACTGCTGCGCATGCACAGCATGTAAACGTGGCAATCAGCTGGCCGGCACCCATGCTCACGCCGGGAAATGGAAGACCAGCTCTTCTAGTTTCTGGCACTTCTGCACGCACAAAGCCCAGCTGATCACTGTGTAGGCATGAGCACCAGAAACCCGGAAGAGGAACAGGAGACGCCGTGCGTGCCGGGAAACATGGCTCCATGTACCACTTTGGATACATGTGCCAAAGGTTCGCCACTACGGGCATAGAGGAATTCTGGGAGTTGAAGGTCACCAGTCTTAAAATTGCCAAGTTTGGAGGCCCCTGGACTAGACTACATCACCTCAGCCCCCAGCCCGTGAATGGGAATTGATGGAATATAGTCGTTCCCTAATTTTGGAGGGCTTGGCTGGGGCTGGGAGGACAAACCTTTGCGCTCAAGGAGAGGAGGAAGATGCTGGTGATTTTTGCCCTAGAGTTGTAAAGCCCCCGTAGTTTTCATTGAAGCTACAGTTCCACCCATTTTGCTATTTGGGAAAAGGAGCGAAGATATGCTGGTTGAGTGGCTGCCCTGCGCTCCAGATGTGCATTGTGGAGAAAAAGAAAAAGAGGAAGAAGTTGAAAGGCTCTTTTGTATTGCAGGGTATTGCTAAAGGGGAGTTTTAAAATGAGTCATCTGAAGGCACAGCACCAGAAGCGCTGTGGATACGACTGTTCTGGCAATCCATTGGAACAGTCAGCTGCCAAAGCTCCAGAGCCTCTGGGAAGAGGGTTTGCTTACTTATGTTTTCCCAAGGTTAGCTGACGTGTCATGAGGCCTCCTTCCCTCTCCCAGCTCTTGCGTGCCAAATTTAGTTTTGAAACGGCACGGCTGTCAGCCGCCACACTGCATGAGGCATCACTGCCTTTGAAATAATACTCAACCCCCCCAGGTTCTCGAGGTTTCCCCAGCTGATGTCCTCCATGGGATAATAGAAGGGCCCCACTGGATTCCATATGCAGAGGGAAGTGGGGGTAGATGCCTCTAGGGAAATGAATACAATGAGCATTGCTCAAATAGCAATAGCAGTAGACTTATATACCGCTTCATAGGCCTTTCAGGCCTCTCTAAGCGGTTTACAGAGAGTCAGCATATTGCCCCCAACAAT